AGCTCAGCTGAGGGCTGGGTCCAATGCCGAAGACCTGCAGACACAGATCCCGTATGACTGATTCAAGACTTCAGCTCTAGCTGGAAGGGAAGGAGGGATCAGCCCTATTAGTATATCCGGGATGTGTTAAATCTGTCTTCTCTTCTGTGGTCTTAGTGGTATTAAACAGAACAGATATCTACTGAGGGCATAATACTGTGTTTTCCTACACGAACAGCAAAGGTCCCGTTAGCAGAAGGATGATGCACAAGAAATGTTGAATCCCTCAACCCACTGCAGCTCACTGAGCTATCAGCACCAAGTTCACAACAACCACAAGGTACAACCCAGCAGCTCTGAGGCACCTCCGTTCAAACAGTGCTGGACACTGCCATATAGGAGGAAGTAAATTTGTATTATCCATGGCAAGCAACCATTCTAGATTCTGGTGCATTGAAATAATGTCTTATATCCTACTTCATAGTGCATAAAAAGAAAAATAGGAGAAAAGTTAGAGCTAGAGAATAATCCCACAAACAGCTGTTTTATACCCCGAAACATACTTGTGTTGGAATTAGTACATTTGCCCACATGCATTCTTCAGATCAGCTTTCACTGAGAAGATAATTTAGAAATGAACAGGCATTTTCTACTATTTATAAGACTTTCCTCTTAATGATTCATCTGCATTGCAGATGCAGCGGGAGCTGGGGGCTGTTTACAACACAGTTGCAACGTGTAGGGTGGAGAGGATTTACTCATGCTTTTGCCTTCTTTACAAAATGCAGTAGTTCTCAAATGAGAGATTTTGATCTTGGACTTGGAAAATGGAGTTATGAGCTCACAGAAGCAGAAAAGTATGAAAATGTTGATATGAGACTGAAAAGTTAAAATGCAAAGAACCCAGAGGATATTGACACTACACTGACTTAGGACTATCTTTTGAGGCATATGGAAATTTCATTTGTACCTGTCTTTATCAATAATGCAGTCTCAATGGATATAGGGAGCCTAAGCCTCAGGTTTGACAGGATGCTTAAGGTCTAACAGATTCAGTGTGATAGACCATAAAAACCAGGATGTCCTAGATGAGATGGTCAACCTGGCTTCCTCTGAATCATTCCTCAGCATCCTCTGGCAGCCCAGCATGGATGGACTTCTCCACCCATGGCTTTCAGCTCTTCCCATATTTTCTGTGGTAACTGGATTTACATAATTATAAATATAAATACACACACACACACATACACTAGTATTAGCAGCCCAAATTGTCCAAAAAAGTGACTTCAGCTGATCATTCTAGGCGTGTGGAGCTTAGCTGCTCAGTAAGTCTCTGAGTTACATGAATTACAATTTACCTGTCTCCACTCAGTTCAATATCCATGGCTAAAAATGAAGCACTAGGGATACATTGTTCAGCTGAGTTTATTCAAACACAACAACAGTAAAACAACAGGATTCCCAGAAGAAAATGACCCTCTATTCCACAAAACAGGGGAGAAAATAAAAGTTAGTAACATAAATTACAAATTTTGACCACAAAAAAAAAAAAAAAGGTTGAATTTCATTACTCTCAGTTCAACACAGATACTCTCTCTATTAAAAGACTTGGATACTCTTCAGAGAACTCGGTATTCTCTGGAGAATTCTTTACAGTACTAACTACACTCAGGGATCAAGTCACAGCACCAGATCCCATCCATTTTCCTCCCTCTGGGTGCTACCATGCCTCACCATACCTTCTGGACAATCCCATTTTTATTAAAGGAACTAGTTGCAGACCAAGATATTACTGAAACTGATCTAAACTTTCAATGTGTTATATAGCAGTTATACCACAAATACAGACTACAGTTAAAAATTAACCAAATTAAACTTAAAACTGTCTCATCAAAGGAAAAATATAAAGCATAGCAGAATCATTCTTGCCTTCACTCTCCAAGCCTTATACTACTTTACCGCAGCAAGAATTACATTACGGTCATAAAACAGAATTATTTTACTTGCTAAAACTCCTAAAGTAATACCTACAAAACTGTGGCAAATACCATCAAAATGCCTATTTTGACATTAAAAGGATGTGCTTAAACACATCTCTCTTCAGGAAAGCACATTATCAGATGCTTAGAGCTGAATTGCTGTGTAAGTGCTTTCCTGAGCCAGAGCCCAAACAATGCCCTGGTGAAGCAGGTGAAACTGTAGAGGCTTTTGACCTCCCCAGACCTGTATGAGGTCTCTCAAAATACAAATAGGTCATCAGACTCTTCAGAATGACCTGTACAGCTTGCTCAAGCTACATGGGTTTTCCATTGAACACGCTGACCGAAAAGACAGTGTTGAGGAAAACATTTATTTCCCATTCTATAATATTTCTCTGGATTATAATTTGTTTTAAAAAATTACAATTCTTGCAACAACTTTGCTGCTTCTTCCTCATCACTGTCAGTTACATTGACTATGTGGATGGTGGAGGGAGTAGATGGGGTGGCTGACAAAACCTCCTGCAGTTCTTCAACATCCAGTTGTGGTAGGGGGCTTAAATACCGCTTGTCCTTACTGCTGCTGGGTTCAAGGCTCTCACAGCTGCGGTAGTTCTCAGGTGTACTTTCTTCTGGGTATTCCTTGAAAGGATAGTCTCCACCCAGAGCTGAAAACATCTCCTGTCTTTGGTACCTGTCTTCATAAAAGCCAAGGCATTCAGGCACTGAGCTGGAGAGATTGTCACAGCCAAACGGATGTTGGCTGAATGGGCACGTGCTGCAATTAAAGAGATTGAGAGTTGGCTTTCAGAAATGCAGATTGACCGCACTTCCTTTCAGCTAAGAAAACTAGAATGACACTAATGTTCTATGCTAGTCAGCTTATCCTGTTGAAATATTCAAAACACATGTACTTTAAAAGCATGCCTAATTTAAACACTAGGATCATAACAAAAGTCGTGCACAGATTCCATATCTGTGTATATGCACCTCTCCATGCTAGATACATGCATGACACGGCTTTGAAAACAAACACAAAACCCATTGTATTGATCAATGAAATAACATCATGGATAAACTAGTATCTGATAAGCCTGCAGTCTGTTAACTGACACACTCAGAATAGTAAAACAAACCATCAAAAGTCAGTTTGTGTTATTTCTGTATGCCAAAATTTGTACACAGAGCTGGGGTAAAACGCTCTTATTTATTCTTTCACATGAACTCTTGCATGTTACGTTATTATTAAACAGGAGGAATGACACAGAATCCTTCTGCCCAATACGTAGTTGTCAATATTACTATTTAAAGAATGATAAATTTTTAAAAAGCAACAACATAGTAGATTGCAGGAAGTTACCATGTCAAATGTAACTGTATTCCTTCGGTGTCAGAAGTTTGAATTTTTAGTCTGGTGCAGACTGACACACGTATTCTAATTTGCACAGTGTTACAGAAATTCACTACATTGATAAGAAAACAATGTGAAGAAGCAACAGAGCTCTGCAATGCAGACATTATAAGGACATTGATATAATGTCTATGGAGGATTCAAGGAGCCTATTCATCTTTCCAATCCAATATTTAAATTTTTCATGCATAAATCTGCATACATACATCTGCACTGTCAGTGCAATGCAGAAATTACAATTCTTGTATGCAAGAAATGAGTTTATAGGAATACAAACTTATAAATTATTGTATTAGAAAGACCTGTCATTAGCAAAGCTGGCAGCCTTCAGAATTCCATTAACGTGTGAACTCAGAATAGTCTTCTATGTTACAAGAACACTCCTCTTCCTCAAGCCTCACAAAACTGTCTAATTTCAGAGACCAAGGGCTAAGCAAAGTTCATCTTTAGCAATTTTGGGAATATGTGTCCTGTGTTTCTTTAAAGGGCCTCAAAAATAGAAATGTCTTGTATTGCACTTATCAGCTCATAAAGTTCTTTTAAGTTTGATGGATCATCATCAGCCTTAATTTATCACCAGGTAGTCTTATTGCCATAGGAACATATTGGTTCTTGCTATTAGTAGGAATAGTAGTGTATAAACAGACAGAATTTAAGTCTAATAGTCATAATAATTTGTGATGTTTGATATTGCACAGCCATGAAAGAAAAATGATGCCTTACAAAGATGCCTTACATCAGTAGGCCATCAGACAACTTGCACTTCAGCAGCACACCTGCTGCTGGGAGGGCACTGGTGCTTTCTGTGCATGCTTAACTTAGGAACTACCCACGGAATATTACATGTGTTAGCTTGTAAATGCTTTGATTAGGTGACCTTTGATTGACTGCCCAGAGACTGCAAGGGAAAAACTAGGAATAACTACTTACATAAGAATTCTGAAGACATTTCCCACCAGGCTGGATTTCAGAAATATTGGTAGTTATGACAGCTGCAATCATAGTACCCGGGAGACATCTCACACACTTACTTTAATTCTATCTGATCATTTTCAAAATATATTTATACTATCTCTACCTTATGCTTTTTTGTAGAAATTAACTGCACTTAGATGCATAAAGTGGAAAGAAGATAATTCAATTTACTGTGAGACTGGAAGTGCCTATTACTGCAATAGTACTATGGAGCCTTCAATAACTGGGCATATATTACGAGCAGCCTCAGGCCAGCAGATCCCACCACACAGGAGCTATAGGAAGGTAAAGAGCATCTTTCCTTCTGAATGCTCCCTCTGCTTTCTGTGAGTCAAAAGACTCTCTGCCTTTAAGCATTTGTTCTTACTGGGATTAAAATGAAGGGTTTCATTACCTTGAGGGGAAATACTGAGATCCAGGTACACAGTAAGGGTAGTGAAATGAAAACTGAGGAGATACTCCAAACAGACTGGCTGGCTGACCAGTGGCAGGAGACTCACATAGATGTGAGTGAAGAAAAGGGGTAGCCTGGGGAAGAGGTACACCTCTAGGAAAAATAGAAACCCCTGGGTACTCCTTTGGGGGCTCACTATTAGAGATAGAAAATCCACCATTAGTGGTGGTTATGTTACTTGGGTTTCTGCTGAAGTTCTCAATGAAAACTGGTGTAGGTCTCTTCAGAGAGCAATTGAGCCCAGATGATACATTAAGAGCTGCTGTCTCAGCAGGCTCAGCAAAGTGCTGTGGTGAAATTACAGGGTACAGGGGCAGGGTTGGAGCTGGAACAGCTACTGATGTAGTGCTTGCACTAGCAGTGTGGAAAACAGCAACTGGACCAGCATGTTGAATGGAAGAAGCCGGCAGACAGATGGCAGGAGGAGGCGCACCTTTAGGAAACAGAACAGTTATTTATCAGACATGAATAGAGGAAGGTATTTCATAAAGAGCAGCATAGCAAACCACAGCCAGAGCCAGAACCATTTTCTCCAAAACTTGCCTGCAACTCACAGTCATACATCACTTGGCCTACGTGTCTTCTGACAGATGGGTTTGGAGCCCAGACATTCAAGCTTCCTTCTACAGAAACCCAAGGGTGAAAGAAGAAGGAATTGGCTAGTGGGTGTTGAGGCTGTGAGGTTGGTGAGGGCTGTGTCTTGTCCTGATATGGCCACAGAATGGGGCTGAAGTGTGTATTTAGCACCTGAAGCTTGGAAAACCTCCCAAGTCTACTAGCTGAGTTGGAGTGAGCCAAATTCTTAACAAATCTGTGTGGTGCCAAAGCAGCAGTGAGGAGTAGAAGCAACAGTGAAAACACCCTACTCTCTGTTTCCTTAGTTGTTTCACGAATGAGCATACCCACTAGCCAATTTCACTTTGAAACATTTTGTAGAACATACACTTGAATGTACGCTTTCAAACCACACATCATGTCAACAGGGCTGCCTTTATACAGAAAGAGTTCAAAATACATTGCATAAGTATTTTCAAACCCCACTACCTAGTCTAAGAGTCTAAATTCCGAGCCAACAGGACTTAAAATGCATCTAGATTTTTACAGTTTGTATTTAAGAATCATTTCAACCACAACAGGATAGTAAACTCTGGAATGAAACATAGTAGCATCTGAGGACAACATAACATTATAAATATACTAGGGTAAGAAAACAAAGAATACTTTATTCAGTCAAATTTACAGAAGGATTTGAGAAATCATCACATCACTACCTCAGAACTCCACCAGAACAAAGCTGAGTGTTCTCTTTTACATCTCTGAATATTACCACATGGCATAAACAGGCATTTAATTTTCTTGTCTCATTATAAAGAGAGCAGCCCTTGTCAGTATGCTTAAAGAGAAAAATGCCATTGCCTGGATCTAATCTATTTGTTGTTGAAATCCACTATCCATGCACTGACAGAGCCAGAGCTCTTTCACTACAAAATATGTGGGTCAGCTATTATACTTGATTGTGCGCTCTTATACTACACCCTATTTCACTGCCCATATTGACTTCTTATGAAAAGCAGGATTCTTCCAGGTTAGGTGCAACTTTTTAATGCATTCCTTCTGTAACTCTATTTTTGTTTGTATAAAAGCTGAGCTATGTATGCTCAAACTGTGGGCATGTGCAAGTTCATAACAACTATATATAGAACTATTCCAGGTGTGCACAGATACCTAAGTGACTGTTCATGGAAAACGTGCAAATGATAAATTTCTTTTTCAGATTTTGTAACTGCTTTAATATTGCAGCACACACCTTACCAACACCCTACTAACTTGCTTTTTAATGACCTTGCTGACAATTCTGTCTGCCGTCTCTTGTAAGCAGTCCAAGTTGCTGAGTATTTGCTCTAGAGCAATGGTGCTCTCACTATCAAGGAACACTAACAGCAGGGTGGAGGTGACATAGACAAAGCTAAAGAGCTTTTTCAGGCTTAATAGGGCAGAGTCAAGCATTAGTGGAGTTAGAGCTGATGAGGTAAGATACATGTGAGGTGGAGACAGAACAAGAAAAAGAAACAGCTGTAGCTTAACAGGAAGCAAGTATCGAGTTAAAGAGATCCAAAAAGACCAAGAGGTAGGAGGGGAGGGAACCAGGAGCTCCAAAGACAATAGCAGGGATCTATGGGCAATGAAGAAGCCAGAAGAATTTAAGAGGCTGAGGAAACAGTAGGTAGAGACTAGGAGGCAGAGGTGCAGTGCAGAGGAGGAGTGATAGAAACAGTGGTGCCAAGGAAGACTGAGAAATTGTTTTAACTGTATCTACACTACCATATGTATAACTTTTAGTACAGTAAGTAAAATCTGAATTGTTAAAATTATTTACTACTGTAAACTCACAGACTGGATGTCCAATAACGCTCTTAACATTGGGGATGACAACAGAGTAAGCAGGTGACTGGAAGGGACAAATGCCAGCTGGATTTGTAGTGATGATACTCTGAGAAGTGCCGGAAAATACATCAGAGACAGGCAGTGGAAAACGCTTCCTTTTGCCTGGTCGTGGTTGATAAACCCAACCTGTCAGAGATGAAAAAAGATACAGACATCCAATTTTTTGGATGATCTCATTCTTTATGTAAAACTATGGTATCTGTAATTCTGAAGTATCTAAAAATAATTAGTCCAAAAACTGCTCCTATAGTCAATGGCAATACTCCATTTGTTTCAGTGAGCTAGCAAATTGGGCATTTTATCAGAGGTGGAAATAAAATAGACATATTTGGACATTGGTTTTATGTTACTTAGTAACTGTTTGTGAGACAAAGAAATACAGAACAGTGGGGAGTGCTGTGGCACAGCTGAGGAAAGCATATTAAGGAGAACATGAGACTGTACAATGGGCTTTCAGTGGGGAAGAAAACCATGACTGTATTCAAAATGTGGATCTTTCCTGATTGTTTCCTTAACCCCTTAAGTCTCACATGTACCTGCAGGTTACAAGAGACAATGGAAAATATGACCCACTGGGAATCCTGTATAAATATTGCAGGAGTATGTTTGCCTTTGCCTTACAACATTAACAAAACACTAACAGATGTACAAATATATTAAGAATTTACACCAAGCTAGCCAGTTTCTTACACAGGCTAACTCTTAATGCAACTTTAAAGAAGCCTTTTTTTTTTTTTTCTTTTTTTGGAAGGGTGCAAGGAGAGAGGAAGAGTGCTGCTTTTATCTTTTCCTTGTTTATGACAGTAGTCAGATCTTGTCTACCAGGATTAGCCATAACCATGATCTAGCAGGATTATGATAACAGAGAGAGAAAGGATCATGACACCTGGTATTTCAACAGAGTTCAAAAAGAGTGTTCAAAGTACTTATGCTCTGTTTTATTGAACTGCAGTGTTATGGAGAAATGAATTTGTTAAGGGTACACATTTTTAATCCTCTTGACAAAAGGCTTAGAAACAACATGTTTCACACCGTTATTTGGCAATCCCAAATTTAAAAATCCCACAGAATACAATGCCATTTGTGCTTCCTGTGGCATTTCCTTTTCCTTCTTTTAAGGAATGGATGCATGTGTCACCACATGCCACCTGGGCAGCTCTTTCTGGAGCATGTAAAATGATGCAGCAGGCCATGTTCACAATAAACTCACTATCTGGCCATTTGACTACTAAAGCATTCAGAAGAGCTGCTGTAGCTGTGGGGGTCTAAGGCCATAAGAAACATTAGAGGCTATGAAGGATGAAACATTATTTTGGATGCTTTGAAAAATTAATATACTTTCAGGCACTAGAAAGCTGACAGAAGGACTGAGTGCTTGAAATTTTTGTCATTTTTTTTCTATTACTTGCTCTAATGAAAGAGATCCATTTTTTAAAAAATCTTGCACTTCTAAAGCATTCGGGTAAATAAATACATGTTTACCAGGAAATTCCTCACTGTGCCTTTGTTTTAGTTTCTGAGCTTCATCATAATAGGGCTGCTTCTGCTCTTCAGTCAGTTTGCTCCACTCCAGTCCAAGCTGAACACTAATTTCTGCATTATTGGCAGCTGGGTTAGCTTTTGCTAGGGCAGGCCGATGAATCCTAGCCCACACCATAAATGCGTTCATTGGACGCTTTACATGGCCACTTTTGTCCTTGCTAAATGGAGCATTTGGCATACCTATGCAACAAAACAAGGAAAGATGAGCATCTTCCAAGCAATATATGCAATCCAGGTTACATTCAATAGTACATCAAGAGAGTATTTGGCAACAGTCAAAATAATCACTAGAGCTTTGGAACACATGAAACTCGATGCACATTTGGAGAGCAGTTCTTAGAAAAATAACTAAGGTTAAGGGAGTATCCTCCACTAACCTCCACTGCATAAAGAACAATTTACCAGGTTTTTGTTACATATTATTTAAAAAAAAAAAAAAAGAAACAAACAACAAACATATGGGACTGCTAACACACTGGTTTGGATTTCATTTGGCTAGATTTTTGTCTTATGGATTTATAAACTTATGAATTCATAAACTGAACATTGTATAGCACAGACCATATCACTGTAAATTTGTCATCACCAGCAGAACCAAAGCCCTAATGATGCAGGGACCAGATCTAATGATGGTATGGCCGTTTAGTCCCACACCTGTGCAGTCACTGGCTTCTAAGCTGAGGTTGTTGCTGTTCTGTTTTTTCTTTTTTTCCCCTCTGTCTCTCTTTCCTTAGATTCAGACACTCATTTTTTCTGGAGAAACTGTTACCAAATGACTGTTACATGGCATCCAAAGAGCTTTGGCTCTTTGTAAACACAGACTGCATTTAAATTGAGCTGGTGACGTGATGAACCCCCAGACCCCTCACAACTGATCCCTGAGGAAGCAGTTTCCTCTCTGAAAAAGGCTTAGAAAAGAACTTTTTCACATTAACAATAAAGGGCAAAAGTCTTCAAGTCTTTAAGACCTCACTTTGTCATTAATTTTGAAAGCCTAGCTATCTTTCAAAAAAAGTAAGCTTCTAATCCAGATGTTTCAAAATGTTCCTCACTTAACATGTGCAAATTTTCTGAGAGTTGTATGAATGCTTCGTAGCAGGGAGGTGTATGAACTCTTCATAGCTTTAAAAATCAAGTGTATTCCTGACCTTAAACTTGCAATCACAACTCAATGCAATTCTGAACACTGCTATAGGGGTTTAACATAGGGAACAAGTGGACAAAACTGCATTGATTTTAACAAACCACTGTGCTCTCGTATGTTTATGTCTGAAGAAGAGAGTTGTACAAACTCCAGTCTGTCCAAAGGGACAGTTCTCTAACATGACCTTTCCACTTGTGTTCTCCTGATAACCTGTCAACTGTGTGCCACTTACTGAACACCTGCAAGCTCTCTTAACATAATACCTGAATCGGAGGGCAGTATTGTGAGTGGAACATTTTTAGTTTCAATCTTTACTGACGGCTTCACTACAGACTGCGTTTGAAGCGGCACTTGTTTCACTGGCACTTTAGTCACATGGATCAGCTCTGTCGGCACAGTGCCCTGGATCTGTATGCGGGTCCCAGGAAATAAGGGCTGAAACAGAACTGGGATCTTCAGATCTTCAGGGAGGATCCTCAACCCTTCACACTGCTGCACCTTGCGATCACCAGTGCTGGCCTGAGCAGGCTCACACAGGGATCCAGACGGGGCCTCGTCCTTTCCCACCTTCACCCTGCGGGTCTCAAAGGCCGCGTCAGGCTGCTCCACTTTGACAGCACCGCCTCTCCAGGGCTCCTTCCCATCACCCCTCTTCTCCAGCACCTTCACCTTGTTCTGGCTTTCCCCGCTGCCCCTTTCATGGTCCCCTTCTCCCTTGATGCCACCGCCGG